CCATTCTTCTATAGTAGGCAAGCAATCCTTCTTCCAATATTGCCCTACCAATAACCTTGCAGCTGTTATCAAATTCAACATCAAATTAGTTTCTTTAGTATCACAATCTGTAATAACACCCAATAAAAATAATTGTGGAGTAAACTTTATCTTTCTCTTAAAAATCTTTTGAATGTTCCATCAAATCTTAATCCAAAAAGCTTTTATATTTCTACAAGTCCACCAAATATGAAAATAAGTAGCATCCAAACTTTTGTTGATTAAGATTGAATGCAGCGGCTTTCTAATTGGTTTATGCATAACAGATGAGATATAGGAAAAAAAGATCTTTAATTAAAATGTTAAAGAATTGTTTGTACTTGTCTTAATACAAGCAGGTCATTTCTTTATATATTTTTACTTTAAAAAAAACATTTTTCTCTTTCTTCCCCTTTTTTCCTTGACACTTTTTTTAATTTTTTAACTGTTATCTTTTTCTTAGTTTGTGCAGTATTAGTTCTTTTAATCTTTGTATTTTTAAACTTTAATGTAAACATTTTAAAAAAGTATTGTTCTCATGAACGGTTTAATTTTAATGGGTTTTTCAAACACATTGCAGACGGCCGGACCTGATCAGTGTTTCCCAAACTTGACAACTTTGAGACCGTTGGACTTCAACTCCCAGAATTCCCCAGACATGTATTCTCTGGCTGAGAAATTCTGGGAGTTGAAGTCCACCCGTTTCAAAGTTGCCAAGTTTGAGAATCATTTGGACCACTAGATGATGCTGGGGTCCCTTCTCACTAGTAACTTCCCAACTATAAGACACATCTACTGAGAACCCCATCCCAGCCTAACCTCCTTTTAACATCCCCCTTCTCCCGCTACTCGCCTCGCACGTTTCTTCAAGACCAGAGAGGCGTCGCTCGCGCTTGCGCAGTTGCAGAGCCGCTCGCAGAGCTGTGTGTGACCAACCTCACGTAGCGCTCCCGCCGCTCCGCTCGCCGCCGCGTTCCGAGGAACGTCCCCGGAGGCTGGCTGGGCGGGGCCAATCGAGAGAAGCATTCCGAAAGGGGCCTGCTTGGGAGCGATCGGCGACCGACCGAGCAAGCGGCTCTTCTCCCAGGTAGGTAGCCGCGCTGGCGGGCTCTTTCTTCCCCCGACTCCGCTTTTATCCCCGCTGGATCAAAGCGGCAGGCTCCGTCTTTCGTTCGCTTCTTCCCAATAGGGCGAAAGCTCCTCGTCTGTTCCCTTTTGCTTCCCCTGCTTGGGGCGGGGAGGGAGCCAAGTTAGATGCGGGACAAGCGCACGTCTGAATGCTGCCTCCGCGAGGAACTTCCCTCGGGGACGCTGACTCGAGCGCTAAGCCTCCCTATCTTTTTTTCTGGAGCCTCGTCACGGAAGGTCCCCCCTGGTTGCTTAGCCCTCCTTTGCTCGGGCGCTTTCGCTTCTCTGTTCTTTGCAAAAGGCGCGCTGAGCTCCCTTAATGGGAATCTGGAGCCGGGGATCTGGAGCACCCGGAGTTGATTGGTGGATTGATTGGAAGGCCATCGTATCCTCCAGACCCCCACAGATTTTGCTAGATTTGCTAGATAGGTTTTGCTCCATGAACCCATGGTTGAGCCAAGGCTGCAGCCGAGGAGCGTGCGAGCCCTCGAGCGATCATTGCCTGGGAATAACTCCCCGACGTGTCCACTCTTGTCAAGAGCAAGCAGAGATTTCTTTTCTCCCTTTATGCTCCGAAGGGCGAAGACATCTGTGGCTGACGTGGACGCGGACCCTTTCTAGATTCCAGCTGTGGTTCAGCCTTCCTTCGAAGGCGGCAGTTTAGAGAGCTCTTCGCTGTTCCGAAAAATTTAACGATTAAGTGCCCCGCGGGAAGAAATCTGATTCTTCCTAGAGTCGTAGACTCTTCAAATCTCCTAAAAATTCACTGGGGAAGAGAGGTGGATTATCCCGTATTTTAGATTATTGGCATTGCCCTCATTTCAGAAAGGATGCAAGGCTGGGGGGAAGAAAAAAAAAACACTTTGAAAAAAATCCTCTAGCTTAACTAGATCTCAAGGCTTTGCTTTTGAGGTTAGCCAGTGTAGTAATTTGATTCCTTTAAAAAAAAAAAAAGTTTAAATGCACCTTCTACAAAAGGCATTGGACTGGTATTTGCAGAAATTCTTAGTTCCTATGTTGAAATCTTTTCCCTGCAGAGTACTGAAAATAAATTTTCTTGCTAATGAGAACGAAGGGTGGAATAGGTGGGTAGAAGAGCTAATAAAAAAGAATAGTTTATATAGTAATTTAACCTTTTCATGTACTCTTTTAGACTTGGCTAAGAAAGAATTTTGAAGCCAAGTGTCCATTACAGGACATGACTTGGAAGACGTGGCAGTAGCATTTTTTCATCAACCTTTTGCTCACATTAAAAACTTCTGGCCTTGTTACTATTTGCTTACTAAATATGAATAATATGCGCTTTCAGATCAGTGAAAAATCTACGCTTTCAAAAATGCGTAATTATGTAGCATTTGTTTTCTTAAATCAAGTCCCTTTGGGTAAATTTAGATAAATCCATTTAAAAATTTGATAAAATCGTTTTTTAAAATTCTTTGTAGAATTTGATTTTCCTCCAAATGTTTCACAATAATTTTCTGAGGAAGTTGTATTGCCTCATACTTGAATGATACCAAACTAGATTACTAAGTAATATTTTTGAGTTACTAAGTTCTGCCTGCTTTTTTCAAGAGGATAGAAAAATGATAGAGCTTTTGTCCCATAAAAATTTGTACGGACATATTAACATTGGTTGATTTTTTCACAAATTCCATTAACTCTCAGATTGATTTGAACCTGAAATGGGCACATAACAGATTTTTTTTCTTGCATAAAAGTATCTGAAGATGCTATGTAACTAAGTCATGCAGGACTCAATGTAATATTAGTGTTCTTTATCATCCTGATGATCATATTATCCAGAGTGTCCATAGGATTTGGTCAAAAGGTGGCTTTCCCATATGTTGGGACTTTCAACTCCCAAACTTCATTGCCATATGGATTGGTCATGTTTGGTGGCAATTTTGAGAACTGTAGGCTTAAAGCAAGAGAGATAGTTTGGTGTAGTGGTTAAGGCATAAAGCTAGAAACCTGGAGAATGTGAGTTCTAGTACCGCTTTGGGCACAAGACCCACTGGAAGGAGACAATAGTGAACCACTTCTGAAAAACCTTGCCAAGAAAACTACAGGGACTTGTCTAGGCGGTGTCCAAGAATTACACATGATTGAATGGAAAGGGGGGGGAGCCTTAATACATCTAAAAGGCAACAATATTGAGAATGCTACAATTCACAATTATTTAGGCACTTCATATAAGCATATATATGTACTGGATTGCATTCTAAACCACTTTGTGTTCTATGTAAGAAAATGTTGAGACTATAGAAACCATTTCGGACTACAGAAGAAGAGCAATAAATACATTAGAACAGGGGTCTCTAATTCCTGGGCCGTGGCCCAGTACCAGGCCGTGGCCTGTTTGGAACTGGGCAGTGCAAGCCATGGGCGAGCGTGCAATGAGCATCAGGCACTTGTGCACACCCACTGCTTACACGGAACCATCCCCTCTTCCTCGCTCTGCTGCTATCAGTCCAGAAAGGTTGGGGACCGCTGCATTACAATACTCTAGTTCAGTGGCTCCCAACCTTTTTTATACCCGCACCCCTAGAACACTTCTGATATATTCTCACACCCCTTACAAAAGTTTGAAATACCAGCAACAAATTATGCATATACACTACAATTTTGAAAACCCAAGTTTTTGCACCCCCTGGAATATCGTCTCACACCCCCAGGGGGTGTGAGCACCCCTGGTTGGGAACCCCTGCTCTAGTTAGATACTTACTGTCCATTCACACACTGTTCTACTGGAAGAAATAAAAACAGGCAAGTGGAGAAGACACCAATGTCTTTTCCAGCTAGACTGCTTCTCAGCCCTTTCAAATGTCTTGGGGACCTTGTTGGAACGCCTTGATGGTCAGCCGTCTTTTGATGTGGTTTCATTTTGCCTTCATTAATTTTGTCCTTTTTTCATGTTTTCTAATGAATTCAAATCCACACAGCCAGGATGTTTATTCGATGTAATAAAGAATCAGGATTTTTATTTATCAACTGGTTTGATTTAGCTGGAAGATGGAGGCAGAAATAAAGAGCCAACCCAAATGCCATATTACAAATAGCATTTGCTCCATCTAGAAAGGCTTAATGCATGATTGCAAAGTTATTTTGAAAAGGTAAAACCTCCTCTGACTCTAAATGGGTTCCTGGCAATTTCATAGCTAATATCCACGTTATTTTGTTGGGGTAATCCAGATATTGTTTGCCAATTTTTCCAGGATGTTTTTCAACTTCCCAGACTTGGTCCACATATCTGAAAGTCACCAAAGTTGAGAAACATTGATTTAAGATCTATTAAAATAAATAAGTAGTGCTACAGCTAGTTATCGGCTTACAACTGTTTGTTTAGTGGCCAAAGTTACAACAGCACTGAAAAAAGTGACTTATGACTGTTTTTCACATGACTGTTGCAATACCCCATGGTCATGTGATCAAAATTCAGACGCTTGGCAACTGGCATGTATTTATGACGATTGCAGAGTCGCGGAGTGATGCGATCACCTTTTGCGACCTTCTGATCAGCAAAGCCAATGGGGAAGCCAGAATCACTTAACAACTGCAGTGATTCACTTAACAAAAAAGGCAAAATGGGGCAAAACCCACTTAACAATTTTCTCACCTAGCCACAAAAAATTTGGGCTCAATTGTGATTGTAAGTCGAGGACTATCCTGTATTGCAAATACATACTGTACTTTCTTTGAATATATAGGGATCTCGGAGTATGGACAATCATTTAAATATGAGCCAGCAGTGTGCTGCAGCTGCCAAAAAGGCCAACACAGTGCTAGGCTGCATTAACAGAGGGATAGAATCAAGGTCAAGTGAAGTATTAATACCACTTTACAATGCCTTGGTAAGGCCACACTTGGAATACTGCATCCAATTTTGGTCACCACGATGTAAAAAAGATGTTGAGACTTTAGAAAGAGTACAAAAAAGAGCAACAAAGATGATTAGGGGACTGGAGGCTAAAACATATAAGGAACGGTTGCTGGAATTGGGTATGTCTAGTTTAATGAAGAGAAGGACGAGGGGTGACATGATAGCAGTGTTCCAATATCTCAGGGGCTGCTACAAAGAAGAGGGAGTCAAGCTATTTTCCAAAGCGCCTGAAGGCAGGACAAGAAGCAATGGATGGAAACTAATCAAGGAGAGAAGCAACCTAGAACTAAGGAGAAACTTCCTGACAATTAGAACAGTTAACCAGTGGAACAACCTGCCTCCAGAAGTGGTGAATGCTCCAACACTGGAAGTTTTTAAGAAGAGACTGGACAGCCATTTGTCCGAAATGGTATAGGGTTTCATACCTGAGCAGGGGGTTGGACTTGATGACCTCCAAGGTCCCTTCCAACTTTGTTGTTGTTGTTATTATTATNAAACTTCCTGACAATTAGAACAGTTAACCAGTGGAACAACCTGCCTCCAGAAGTGGTGAATGCTCCAACACTGGAAGTTTTTAAGAAGAGACTGGACAGCCATTTGTCCGAAATGGTATAGGGTTTCATACCTGAGCAGGGGGTTGGACTTGATGACCTCCAAGGTCCCTTCCAACTTTGTTGTTGTTGTTATTATTATATGATATGCACAGATGGATTCTGTTTACAATATAACAAAGTTTGAGGTTGATGGGTTGGAGCCATAGATAAGTGGATGAGTATTTTCTATTCCATTAAAGTATCCTGCCCCTTCAATTACTCCTTGAAGTTATTTATCCCTGAGCATGGTTTGTTAAAATCACCAACTTCCAAATGCTTCAGGGTTTTGTTCTACATAGAAAATACTATTAATACCGTTAAGATGGTTAGTAATGGTATATAAATCCAAGTGCTATTGCTACAGTAAATAAAATGAGTTGAGGTATAATTCCTGTTGTGGCATATTATTTTGCTATTGTAGCCTCCAGTCCATTCCGTAAAAATAATCCCAAGCTGAGAACTAATTTTTTTGATTTGCACTGTTTTCAGCATCCTATTATATTTTCATGATGTATTAAAATTCTTATTTTTTTTTCAAATGTCAACATTCAGTTAATGCAAATTTACGAGTTATATGTTTAAACGGCTGTACATTGTTTTTCTGATTGATCCCTAATGCTTTCACACAGTTTGTCTCACCTAAACCTCAGTAAACGGAATCATGGATATTATACTTCTATTTCATGAATATAGGTATTCCAGAAGGAAAACCTCTTTTTTAAAAGGACAATTTTCCCAGACTTTGCACAGTTAATAGCTGCATCATTTCTAAATTCCAGAGTAGAAGGACAAAAGTCAGAAATGCTTTTGTGTAAGAGCTTTGTTGAAAGAATGAAAAATGTCTGAAATAATGGGCTTATTAGAGAAAGAGAGGGAGCAATATATATTAAATAAGGCTTAAATGTCTCTGGAGATAAAACATTATTCTTGTGTAATGACCATGGTATGATTTGATAGGACTGCAGCTGGAATAACCATTAGTAGAAAAATGGCTTTTATAGAAAGTACACAATGTGAGAAAATAAGCAAGTCCTTACCCTGACTTCTAAATCAAGTCTACAGTATTTGATAGATAGCTGATTACAAGGTTGATAAATTTTAATAGCATTATATCAGTTTTATTACAGAGGAATAACGAAATAAATTGAGTTGCTAACATGTATCTCCAGAAATGTTTAGCTGTAGCTTTCATAGATTCATCTGGTAACTTATTTACTGCATAATTCTGGACCAGGTAAATTACAGTGTTACGCAGTGTTACGCAGAGGTAATAGGATGGCATATTTAGGAATTGATTTTTATCTTCGACTGTACTCTGGATTACAGAAATACAGCTTGAATTTGGATTTCAAAATACTTACTTTCACCCATGTGATTTATAGGTAGTGCTTGACTTACAACTGTTCGCTTAGCGACCATTTAAAGTTAAAACAGCACTGAAAAAAAGTGACTTATAACCATTTTTCACACTTACGATCATTGCAGCATCTCCATGGTCACGTGATCAAAATTTGGCCGCTTGGCAACTGGCATGTATTTATGATGGTTGCAGTGTCACGGGGTCATGTGATCACCTTTTGTGACCTTCTGACATACAAAGTCAATGGGGATTCATCTAACAGCCATGGTTGCTAATGGTTGCTAAGGCCAGATTCACTTAACAATCAATTTAACAACTGCTGTGATTCACTTAACAACTGGGGCAAAATTCACTTAACTCTCTTGCTTAGCAACAATAATTTAGAGCTTGATGGTCGTAAGTTGAGAACTTCTGTACTAATCTTAAACACCAAAGTATTCTGAAAAGAGCCTTTATATTCTCCTCTTTAATTGAAGGAGGAACTAGAAGCTGTGCCAGTACAAATATTGAAATATTGCTCAGGACAAATATTATGATATATGCATTTTGCAGAATGAAAATCTACAGGGAAAATAGTTTGGATAATTGAGAAATGAACCTTTCTTCATAATATCATTAAAAATTATATTTGTAGGTGTGTCAAGGCAAACCAGTAGTGAAAATGATGGTGGTCTCAAGAGAGTGGTGTCTTCTCGTCCTCTGGATTCTACTGCCTTCTTCTCATGCTCATACAGATTTCTTCACTTCAATTGGTAAGTGATGCTTTTAAGCACTTCTGATTGATTCAGGAATAACAGCACCAAAAGTGTAGTAAATTAATTGCTTGGATTATTAGTTATCCATCCACTATCTGCTGAAGCTAGAACATGATCAGTCACAAAATTTAAGTGTTATAGAAAAATACCAGCAAATAATAAAATGCCATAGGTTTAAGCTCTTAAGAAGCAGTCAAAATACATTTGGAAATACTATTACCAGTTTACATGAATTATGTTGGTTATATTTTAGTATTGCTTTTTCTTGGTAAAGGGAGAACTACCTAAGAATTATGTCCCAAAGATGCTTTCTCACAAGGCAACTGGACTTCCTTGGTTTTTTGTTTTTTTTTAAGATGCTTCTCATTCAAGAAGCTTCTTCAGAGATGAAAAAGCTTCTTGGATGAGAAGCAAAACATCTTCAAAGAAAAACAAAGTCCTATTGCCTTGTGAAAAAGCACCTTTGGGATAACTATGACCTGGATGACTGAGAATCTCCATAGACATAACACCTATGTGTTAAGATCAGTTGGTGACATTTCTGAATTGGTTAAATATATGGTGGTGTCTTTGCAGTATCCAGCAAAATGATTTGGGCATATAATCTGACTGTTATAAATATATGCAGGAAGCATTTTGTTTATAACTAATTTTATTTCAATCTGCTATCAGTAAATTATAAAAATAATCTTAATTTTTTTCTTCCTGTTTGTACATGTCACAATTCTGCTTCCATGGCACTTCTGCCATCCACTCTGCTTATAGAAAAAAAAGAATTAATATTATGTCAACATTTACTTTAGATATATTATTTACATTAGAACAGTTAAAGCAGTGGTTCTCAACCTTTTTAATGCCACGACCCCAACTGGTCGTAAGTCGAGGACTAAACCGGTCGTAAGTCGAGGACTAAACTGGTCGTAAGTCGAGGACTACCCAACCGGTCGTAAGTCGAGGACTTTCCCTGCCCGGGAGCGCCACGCATGCGTGGTTCCGCCCCCTGCGCCGGCTGTGGCGTAGCTGGCAAGCGGCAGAGACGGAGCAGGCCGACCACCAGCTGGCCCAGCCCAAGGGAGGTAAGGCACCCGCCGGAAAAGGGGAAAAAATGGTGGACCAAAAAAATGGTGGACAGCCTTGCTTGGCGACCCCCGTGAAATGGTCGATCGACCCCAAATGGGGTCCCGACCCACAGGTTGAGAACCACTGAGTTAAAGTGAGTATACTTTATCACAGTTCAATAAATATACATGTCAGTTGCCTTGTCATTTGAACTTATAAAAACAATCAACATAATTCATCTATCTTCAATTTTGATAACAAATGTTAAATTAGATGTGTGGCTGGTGGCTTTATGTAGAGTAGATTTGTGCTTTCTTGGTCTGCCTGCTGGCTTTGCAGACTTAATATCTTAACTTGAATGATGCAAGGGGGTAAAGAGTAAAAAGTAAGTTTCTAGCTATGTGCTTACTAATCTGTATGAAATTCTAATCTAAAACCATGTTTCATTGACATGTCCATGAAATGACAATTTGAACTACAAAAAACAAACATAATAAGAGCTGCAAAACTATGAGTGAAGGTTAATCCTACTATAAAACTGCCACTGAGAAACTGGTTTGTGCATTCAAAATCTGGGACAGTATACTGGGGTAATTTAATTTCAGCAGATCAGTATGAAATTATTTTTGCAGTATTTGCCAGACATGGGTGGTAAAATAGATTGCTGCCTTGCGCCTTGCATTTAGCTGTAATTTATTCTGGTAGTCTTCCTACCTAACAAATTGGGAAAGATTAATGCTTCCTTAGTGAAGAGAAAAATGCTCGTGATAATTTTCCCCCCAAAAAACTGTGAGAAAGTAACTGCAAATTTACGTATTTGGGTTTGTTGGCTTTTAAAACTGTAAAGGTTTTGTAATTTTTGTTCTAAAACTGTTAGAATTTCATACAAATTTCATGAACGTACTGGTTGTATTGATCTATCTTTTAGGTCATATGACAGATTTGATTCATACAGAAAAGGATCTGGTGATATCACTGAAAGACTATATCAAGGCAGAAGAAAGCAAGTTGGACCAATTAAGGCAGTATGTAATTCTTTTATTGCCAATATTTAGCACTGTTCTACCATACAAAATGAAAAAAAACCCATCTTATGTTAATTAATTCATGGCTTTTTTGAGAGAAAAACTATATCTACCATTATTTGAGGGTAAGATTCTTATTGAAAATCTTCATCTATAGTGAATAATGGCATTTCCGTAAGTCCGCCTGAGGTTTATTCCTTCATTTGTTTTCTATCTGTTAAACAAAAAAATGTACTATTAAAATCAATTAGGTAAGTTCAGTCTCTCTCAGCTCAACTTACATCATAGTGTCCCAAAAGTTGTTTTTTTCCAAAAGGCAACAGGACTTTCTTGGTTTTTTGTTTGGAAATGTTTCACTTCTCATCCAAGAAGCTTCTTCGGTTCATGGATTCAGTTCTTGGATGAGAAGTGAAAGGTTTTCAAAGAAAAAAAACAAAGAAAGTTCAGTTGCCTTTTTGGAAAAAGCACTTTTAGGACAACCATGACCTGGATGATTGAGAATCTTTCTACCTCATAGTGCATAAAATAGAGATTTTCTTATAAGCCACCTTGAACTCATGGAGAAAAGATAGGATATATAGTATAAGATGAATATGTCTCAGAGCCAGTTTGGTCTAGAAAGGTATTTTATGCTAGAAAACGGGAGACCGTGAGCTCAAGTCTCCGCTTAGCTATGAAAATCAGCTAAATCAGGGGTCCCCAACCCCCAGGCTGCAGATCAGTATCAGTCCACAACCTGTTGGGAACCAGGCCGCACAAGTGGCAGGCGAGTGAGCAAAGCTTCATCTGTACATGCCTGTAATCTAGGTTGCACGTGCAAAACCATTCCCCGCTGCTGGTCCACAGAAGATATTTTTTCTTCTGAAGCTGGTCCCTGGAACCAGAAAGTTTGGGGACTACTGAACTAAATGACCTTGGGCCAGTCACACACACTCAGCCCAACTCATTTCACAGGGGTGTTGTTGTGGGAAAAATAGGAGGAAGCTGTGTTGGATATGTTTGCTACCTTGTATATTTGTATAAATGTTAAAGGTTGGGTAATAAAATGTAAAATAAATATAAACAAGATTAATTTTATTAAGAGCAAACTGAAAAATGTATATGCATGTATGTGTGTGTGTAAGTGTTCACGTTATCTGTAGCATTGGCTTAGCAATTTACGAAGCTTTTATTTCCTGTACTTAGGTGGGCTGAGAGGTTGGATAAGTTGACCGATACGGCAACAAAAGACCCAGAGGGATTTTTGGGACACCCGGTGAATGCATTCAAATTGATGAAGCGACTGAACACCGAGTGGAATGAGCTTGAGAATTTGGTCTTGAAGGACATGTCTGCTGGTAGGGCTTTCAAAATCCTTTGAAGCAATCACTCATTAAAATACACTGAGTAACCAAGGAAGTCTGGATTTCAATTCATGCCAGTTCACTGGGAAGAGTCTCAAGTATGCTTAACTATAAAAATGAATTTGGTGTTATATCCTCCAAACTAAGCAGTGCAACTATCTACAGTTGTGTATATTGCCCAAATGCCAGAGTAAATGATACTTCTGGCTGGAAGTGACCAGAGGAGGTAACTATAAATAAATTTAAAACACACCAAGGCAGTGTTTACTAATTAGATCTGAATGGAAGCCTCTCTCTTCCTGAGTTCAGTTTTATTCTTCATAATAAAGCAAATGACAATGGTTGGTTTCTTTAGTGATGAGATTGGGGTTACAGCAAGAATAATACTGCAAATTATTGATGAATGCCATCGTCAATCATCTATTTTATTCCTTGGAATTAATCGCATTGGCTTCTTAGCATTCAGATGTTCAAGATAAAAGGAACAACTAAGTTCAGCTAGTCCTCAACTTACAACCATAATTGGGACCAGAATTTCCATACCAAGCAAGGGAGTTGTTTATCTGAGTCACGTCTGATTTTACAACTTTTTTGACGCAGTTGTTAAGCAAATTGCCCCAGTTAAGTGAAACATGCCAGTTGCCAAGTGCCTGAATTTTTATTACTTGACCATTGAGATTGCTACAAGTGTGACAACCAGGCTTAAGTTACTTTTTTCAGTGCTGTTGTAACTTTAAATGGTCGCTAAACAAATGGTTGTAAGTTGAAGACTACCTATATTTTCTTTGCTTTTGGGCTTGCCTACAAATCTAAACTTTCTTCTAGTTGGAATGACTGCTTCCATCCCTCTGAACTTGCCTTTTTGGCCAGGAAAGAACAAATGCCTCCTTGTTGACAAAAAATTGTTCTGCATTAACTGCATTGAATGTAATTTTAGAATTGAATTATACTTTTATAAGTAATTAAATTCTAGTAAAGAAAGTAAAACTGATGGAAAAGAATATTTGTAGCTCAGAGTTGAACTGTGGGGTCTTTGGTGCTCTCTGAGCTTGGTTGTTTTCTTGCAGATCTTTCATTACCAAACTAGATAACATCATCAGTGCTAGAAGGGAATGGGGTTTGCTCTCATCTTATATACTAGTGCAGTGGTGGTGAACCTATGGCACACGTGCCAGAGGTGGCACTCAGAGCCCTCTTTGTGGGCATGCGCACTGTCGCCCCAGCCCTGCCTCCCCCCTGCAGCCCCCTCCTCCCCAGCAGCCCCCCCAGAGGAGAGTCGCGCCCGGGCATGGCCTGCGTGGAGCAGCGCAGCCAAGGGCATGGCAGCCGGGAAGCGGGGACAAGACTCCGCCCTCACGCCCCATTGCACGCAGTTGATGCTGCGGGTCGCGGGCAGAGGGCATGGCCACCATGGTGCTGTTGGGCCACCATGGCAATCTGCGGCGGGCCGTGGAGGCGGTGAGTGGCCCTGCTGGCGAGCGGGGGCAGAGTGGGGGCAGGGCAGAGTGGGCGGGACCACGGGTGGAGTGGGGGCAGGGTGGGTGGGGCAGAGCGGGCAGGACGGGGGCAGAGCAGGGGCCAGGACGGGGGCGGGGGCAGTTTTTGGGCACTCGGTGTCTAAAATTTTCGCCATCACTATACTAGTGGCTGTCAGTGTTGGTGGGAAAAATATAAAACTCTTTTTCTTTTTGATCAGTCTGGTTCTGGAACTATCCCATTATTTCTCCTGGAATAGAGTTGATTTATGTATGTAAGCACTGATGTACTGTACTGAATGTACAGTACACACTTTATATATTTTTGGAAATGACTTGTTTGAGTCAAATGTAGTTTATGGTGCTCAAGACATATTTCTGAACAATCCATTTTTGGAAATATAAGAACTATCTTGGATTCAGTGGTCCCTTTTGAGAAATACATGGGGTATTCCAGTTTGCTTTGGAACACATGTTTTGTATATACTTGATTATAATTAAATGTTTAGTAATCTAATACTTTAGGCAAAGTCCCTAACTAAAGAAATATTTAAATTTAATACAGCAAATGTGAACCACAATCTTACGAACAACTCAAAGTATAGACAATAGCTTATATAATCTTGAAAAGAAAAGCAGAATGGTTTTAGATTTGTCAAAATTGTTCTAAAAACCTCCCCTCCCCCAGGGAGGAAAAAGAACTTATAAAAGTTTGTTTTCATTCCCAAATAAATGAAACTTGATGTTTCTTTATGTGTATTTATTAAAGATAGAAGCCAGAAATTCTGGTGAAAGCAAAGCTCGTTTGTAAGGTTAGATAAGATATACAAGGATATGTAAAATACACTGTTTTCTGGGAACCATGGAAAAGTGCTTCCAATTCTTGCAGAATTGCTTCTTAAAACTTCTGAAACATCCCCACCCCCACAAAAGGATCAGATTGATATGGGAGGGGGGAGCTTTTTTTTGTTTTTGAAAGTTTATCAAAGAGAGATCCAACCTAGAATTAAGGAGAAATTTCCTTAATCAGTGAGAACAATTAACAGTTAATCAGTGGAACAGCTTGCCTCCAAAAGTTGTGGGTTCTCCATCACTGGAAGTTTTCAAGAAAAGACTGGACAGCCATTTCTCCAGAATAATATAGGGGTTGGACTAGAAGACCTCCAATGTCCCTTCCAACTTTGTCATTCTGCTCTGTTCTGTCCCTGAAAGAATCAATTTTGCACATCCCTATAAATTTATAATATTCCTCTGTATTCCAGAAGTAGTGAAATAAATTGTTACTGAACTAGAGCAATATTTTAGCCTTATTGCAGCTATTTAAAGCAGGGCTTTTCAACCAGTAGTACGGGTACCATCTGTGGTACATTGGCACCTGGCAGGTGGTACACGACCATCCTAGAAAAGTGGTAGTGGGGGGGAGGGGAATGAGCTGAACCGGTGGCAGCAACGCACAAGTGATAAAGGACAGGTAGTCCTCAACTTAAAACAGTTCACTGTTGTAAGTTGAGGACTACCTTTCCTTTATCACTTTTTTCCCTTTTTTTTTTGGTCATCAAGTTTTTGACACCTTGCTAGGCGACTGGTGGTACTTGGATATTGCCATATCGTAAAAGTGGTACAATGGGTGAAAAGGTTGAAAAGCCCTGATGTAAAGTATACATTTGACCCGTACCCCATTTTGTGTACAAACTAGTATCGCTTCCAGTATCAAAAAGAACGATTTATAAAAAAATATATATCTGGGATTGGATCCAAGTTTAATCATCCCTAAAGCATCCGGGAGCCATCATCAGTCTGAAAGCAGCCAAGAGGAGAAAGAGGAGGATAAATTATGGACAGAGGGGGGGAAGGCAGGTGGGTGAGAGATTGGGTGGAATTGTGATCACTGCAGAGTAGTATTGACAGTGCTACAAGAACCTCTTTCTTTATTATTTTTAGGGTTTATTTCCAACATGACGGTTCAACGGCTGTTTTTCCCTGATGATGAAGATCAGACTGGTGCCGGCAAAGCTCTCTTGAGACTCCAAGATACATATAAATTAGATACTGACACAATATCAAGGGGAAATCTTCCAGGTATATAAGATGCCAGCATTTTAGGGAAGCAACTTTGTTTTATTTCAGAGGGACAGTGCACATTTATATGTGATTTCTAGCGATAGGGAAGATCAAAACAGTCTTATAGTTTATTCTCCCTCTCTTCTTCTAGGATGCTCTGATTTTAAATACACTTTTCTGTATGTGTGTGCGTGTGTATCAAATTTTTCAGTACAGTAAACGTAAAAAAGGAAGAAAGGAAGAAAGTAATAAAAAAGTTAAAAGACGTACAATTATGCTTTCTGCATTAAAAAAATCAGTTTTACTTAGAAACAATAACTACAGATAACACATGGCAGTGTTTATGCCTGGGACCAAAGGGATCTCCCACGTGAACTTATTCTGTAACTAAGTAAAACTTTGGGTGTCCTAATGTGTAAAAAAATAAAATACATTTGGGTTATTATCATAGGTATCATTGGGGGGTGTTTAGTATTATTTCTGATTTTGTCCCTTGTGATAAAAAAAGGTTCTGTGCATCTTTGTTTGGTGTTTTTTTTTAACCTTAGTCTTGTTACTATCAATAATGAAAGCCGGGAATTGCATTGTATATTATTACTCTTTTTTCAGATCAGTGTATAAGGCAATACTTCTATGCATGGGTCATTTTAAGAGATTGAATCTCTTAAAGCTTTTTTCAAGATTTCTTATGTTTCAGCATACTTTTTGCCTTAAGGAAATACCATTTTTGGAAAAGGTCTAGGATTATTGTTTTTTTGGGGGGGGGAGGTGGCTGAAACTAACAGAGGAAAGCACACACATTGAGTTATGTTGGTCTCAGGATTATTGCCCCACTAGATCCATAACATTCAGGATCAAGTGCAAATGATGGCTCTATGATTTGAAACTTGCAGTGACTTTTTTCATATTTGCTTTGACAGGATTTGCTTCCCTTTGATCTTCTGGATTTTTTTTTTTTTAGGGGCCAGTTGCTCTTGTATGATGAAAGGCAAATCTAGCCTGTGAATTAAAAATTCAGCGTGAGAAGTCTCCCCCTCCCTTTCCCCAAAACATTAGGTGGACTCTGCCACTATTTTATTGGCAATACTACAGCTTAGGAAATAGAAACAAAGCCATAGAACACTGTGAAGAAGTCTTCTGATAATCTAAAAATTTAACAAATTAAATATTCAGTAATAGATGTACCACTGAATTATATTTATGAATATCATGTTAGAAAAATACAATTATTAACATAAATGCAAAACCGTATGTAATATAATATCTGAAGATACAGGTCATCCTCGACTTAGAGCCGGTTCACTTAGTGACCATTCAAAGTTACAACGACAGTGAAAAAAGTGACTTATAACTGTTTTTCACACTTACGACCGTTGCAGTATCCATGTAGTCACGTGATCAAAAACCGGATGCTTAACAACCGACTCATTTTTATGACAATTGCAGTGTCCCAGGGTCATGTGACCACTTTTTGTGACCTGACAAATTCAATTGGGAAGCCAGATTCACAACTGCAGTGATTCACTTAATGACTGTGGCACAAAAGGTCACAAAATGGGGCAAAATTCACTTAACAAATGTTTCACTTCTCAACAAAAACGTTGGGCTCAATTGTGATCATAAGTCGTGGACAACCTGTGCTATATTATATCCAGCTTATTGCAATCATTTCAAAATGAAAACAAATCAGTAGAGAATATGGTTAAATAACTCTAGCAGTCTATCTAGTTTTTATCAATGAGGAAGTAAGAATTAAACGGTATGGCTGCAGACAAGGAAACAAAAATGCAAAATCGCATGATTTCAAGAGCTTTGTAACAGCTGTTGCTGGTTCTTATTCCCACTAGGAGTGAAGGATAAGGTATTTCTAACTGCTGAAGACTGCTTTGTGTTGGGAAAGATTGCATATACTGAAGCAGACTACTACCATACTGAGTTGTGGATGGAGCAAGCTCTGAAACAGTTGGAAGAGGGAGAGGTTTCTTCTTCGATCAACAAAGTTTCTGTTCTAGATTACTTGAGTTATGCTGTGTACCAGCAGGGGGATTTGGACAAAGCAATGATGCTCACCAAACGGTTACTTGAATTGGGTAGGATAATCTTTTTTGTATTCAGCATGTTTGCACTGCTTAACTTTTGTCCCCCCCAGACATTTTCCACTTGGATGTACAGGCTTTTCAAGCTAATTAATGCAGTGAACTGAAGGACAAAATGCTGCTGGGAATCCCTGTAACTACAAATGTGTTTAGGAAGCATTAATTTTTCCCCCATTGCTTTACATGCCATTTGCTTCTGTGACTGGGGTATTTATATATGAAAATAGAGATACATTCCAGCTGACATAGGTGGATTAGATGCTGACATATACAGATTTCATTAGATCTTAACTCAACGACCACTAAGCTCAAACAAAAGGACAAAATCCCTTAAAAATAGCTTTCTTCCATGGAGTTAACCAGTCCTCTACCTGGTTTTCCAACAGATCCCGAGCACCAGAGAGCAAATGGAAATTTGAAATACTTTGAATACATCATGGTTAAAGAAAAAGAAAAAGAAGCCAACGAGTCTGTGACTGACACAGATGAGCAGCCTGGAAAAAAAGTGAAGACTCAGAAAAAAGGGTCTCCCAAAGATTATCTGCCCGAGAGACAGAAGTATGAAAAACTATGCCGTGGTGAAGGTCTGAAAATGGTAAGTTCTCCCTTGGGTGTCAATGGAGATTCTCAGTAATCCAGGTCATGGTTATCCCAAAAGTGCTTTTTCAAAAGGACCTTTCAGCAACTCTAAGAAAGTTCTACACCCATTTGCACTATTCAGATGACCCTCTAAGTGGTCTCAACGACTCTCAGAAAGAGTACTAAGGACCAGATGACTGCAAGGAATATAAAGCCTTCCATTCTCCACTATTCAGTCCGAACTAAAGGAGCTTCTTGGATGAGAAGCAAAATATCTTCAAGGAAAAAAACAAGAAAAAGTCTAGTTGCCTTTTGAAAAAGCACCTTTGGGTTCTCCTTTGTGTGCAATACCATCATTACAGAATACTCGTTGATGAAAAAATAATAATGCATTGGACTACTAATGCTCGATTTATTTCAAACTTTTAGACTCCTAGAAGAGAAAAGAAGCTGCTTTGCCGTTATTACAATGGGAATGGGAACCCAAATTACATCCTAGGACCTGTCAGACAAGAAGATGAATGGGATCGCCCTCGGATTGTTCGCTTTCTTGACATCATCTCTAATGAAGAAATAGAAAAAGTCAAAGAGCTTTCAAAACCAAGGGTAAAGAATCTAAATTGTCCACATTCTTTGAACAAGGGTAACAGTGAATAATTTCCTCAAGCCAACATTTGCTTCTTGATTACAGCTTGCTTGGGCCTTGCTAAATATCTTCTTGCAGTCCTTCATCTTAATGGCATCTTCATTTTATTTCTGAAATAGCAGAGGAGCTTTTGCTTATCTGGTTAGGCCTAAGCAGAATAGATTGACAAACAGTTCTGACCTAATGTTCTTTGAACCATTGTTGCTTCTCCAACAGTTATGTTGGATAAAATGTAGGCATGCCCTGTTTTGGAAGATTGTTGTGAAAGACAGTAATGAGAAGCATAAGAATTCTTTACTGCAGGTGAACTGGCAATTAGTACCATTCGTACTATTTTTGATTTTTGTTACACTTTCTCTTTGTCGAGATAAATTCTAATAGTAGATTCAGATATAATTCTAATGACAGATAATTATGTCCTTGATTCTTCTTATACAATATAATAGTGTAGAGTTTTATTTCTGTGGGACTAAATCGTCATGCAGCAAGTTACTAGAATGTTATATCTAATTGGTCCATACTGTAGTAAGGAATTTTTAAAAGAGATTCTGGTTTACTAAAAGTTTAAGGAAGCTTGAATTTAAGGTTCTGAATTGGAAAGTTGAAATTAATTTTTTTGTTCTTATCACCTATATAAAATAGGAATTGTTTTATAACTGAATCTAAATATTATCTTTCTTCAGAGATCAGCTTCTGATGTTTCTCTTTCTTTGTTCATGCCACTACAAGTAGCCCTCAACTTACAACAGTTTGTATAGTGACCGTTCAAAGTTATAACAGTACTGATAAAGTAACTTAGGACCGTTTGTCACACTTTGGACCATTGCAGCATCCCCATGGTCATGTGATAAAAATTTGAACGCTTGGCAACTGATTCATATTTATGACGGTTGTACTGTACCAGGGTCATGTGATCACCTTTTGTGACCTGACAAGCAAAGTCAGTGGGGAAGCCAGATTCACTTAACAACTGCAGTGATTCACTTAACAACTGTGGCAAGAAAGGTTGAAAAATGGGGCAAAATTCACTTAACAAATGTCTTGCTTAGCAGTAGAAATTTTGGACTCCATTGTGGACATAAGTTGAGGACTACCTGTAAACAGTTTTGTCCCTGTGCTGGCTTGGGCAATGCCATTCTGAGGGTTCGAAGTGCTTTAATCTGTATGATTTTTCCCAGTAATCCCTACTTTTATTTTAGGAGCACCAGGAAGGTAAGTAATGTGTACAATGGTCACTTGCCCTCTTAACACTTTCCCAGTTCAGAATGATAATGTAGTACTTGCTGCTTCTAAAGAAGCCTCAATTGCTTTCTTCTAGTACGCAACAAAAATGTAGCATTGGCTTGGCAAAAATTTCAGTATTTTGCTTAAAATTACTAATTTTGACATTCTTACTTGTTTTGTATTCCATGTTTCTTGTTTGGTGGTGGTGGTTTTTGTTCCTTAATGGACAAGAACCCTACTGAAATTGGGGTTTTGCCCCTGGATTCTGAACGGTCAGATAAATGTGATGCAATATATATATTGTAATGCGACTATTCTGATTGGTTCGCTTCACAGCTGAGGCGAGCCACCATTTCAAACCCCATAACGGGAGTCTTGGAGACTGCACATTACAGAATTAGCAAAAGGTAAGACTTTACTTGCCATACCTTCGGTCCTTGTGACGAGACCTTCTGCAGTTCTCATTGATGTAGACAGTGGCCAGAAAAAAAAAAAGTTGGTTCAAAACTTTTCTGGTCGTTTGTGCTATTCACAGAGACTGTAACACTTTGTTACTGCTGAGTTTCTCAGACGCTTCTTGTAGCCAGAAGTTTTGTTTTTATTTGCTTATTCAGAGTATAATTTGATGTCAGATAGATAGATAGATAGATAGATAGATAGATAGATAGATAGATAGATAGACAGACAGACAGACAGACAGACAGACAGACAGACAGACAGACAGACAGACAGACAGACAGACAGACAGACAGACAGATAGATAAACCTTTATTGTCATTTTTTACTCTGGGCATAATGGCACACATTAAAAATTAAATTTAGTTGCTTCCTCTCAAAGTGTACACATACATAACACACATTTAAACATACTATATACCAGGGCTTTTCAACCTTTTTACCAATTGTACCACTTTTAGGATATGGCAATATTCGAGTACCACCTAGCAAGGTGTCAAAAACTTGACCCCGAAAAAAAACCTGTTCAAAGTTGCAATTGCACTGAAATGACTTATGACCATTTTTCACACTTATGACCATTGCAGCATGCCCAGGGTCATGTGATTTATATTTGGATGCTTGGCAACTGATTCATATTTATAATGGTCACAGTGTTCCAGGGTCATGTGATCCCTTTCTGCAACCTTTTGACAAGCAAAGTCAATGGCAGAGCTGCTGGTGGCCAAGTGCTAAGGCAGGACTTCCTTTCCTCCCTCCCTCCCCTGCCTCCCTTTTTCTCATTCCCATCTCCTTCTGAAGGAAGAATTTGAAACCCCCCTCCATATTTTCCCTCTTCCATATCAAACAAGGAAAGGCCTCCAGAGACAGAAAAGACAAGCTGCTGAGTGAACTAGCTTTAAAAGACACATTCCCCTTTAAGAATTAGCTACTGGCTAGAAAGGAAAGTAAGGAGCGCAGCCGGCACTTAAGAAAAAAAAATGTAAGTACTAGCTGCTGGCTAAGGCAACCTCCCCAAATGGCTCCATTCATAAGTAAAGGAATGCTACAGGCAAAATCCATTCAGGAGAAAAATACCTCAAAATCCCTTGCAGCAAAACTTACAGCTAACAACAGCAGAGCAATAGAAGTTAACACGAGACATCAGCCATCAGCCAAATAGAAATTGCCAAACACCCCTTAAGAACACAAAGCCCTCATTGTACAAATCCCAGAACTTCAAAGTCACAAAAGCACATAAGAATCCTTCCACTCTCCATCTCCTTCCCTCCTCCGTGCCTCACCTCCAGCCATTGCTGCCTTTTTTCATTCCTCTTGGAGGGTGACCCCTCCCCTGCTGCATTTCTTGCCTGTTTGCTGCTGCCAGCACAGGTGGCTGCCACAGCAATTGTAGATCGGCTCATGGCCAGCCTGCTTGATCTCCTCTCCCTCCCCCTCCTTCTTCTTCTTCTTCCCCTTCGGTGCAGCTGACTCTGCCTCCTCCCAAGGCTGCTGCTTTTTTTCTCTCTCCCTCTCCTGCCCAAACTGCATCGTTTTATAGGCTCTCCTGTCTCCGCCCCCTCCTCCTTTCTCATGGGGGAGGGTGAGCCAGAAGTGAGCCTGGGGCCTTTGCAGCTCCAGAGGACTCTCTCGCTGTAAGTCCTTGCCTGTGCTGGCTCTTTCCCTCCCCCACTACCCTTGGCTAGGCAGGGCTGCATACCCACCTGCCACTCATTAATGTACCACAAGTGGTACGCGTACCACCGGTTGAAAAACCCTGCTATATACAACATATGTTTAGACCTACACCCTAACATATTAGTAACATATAAATATTAATCACTATCTATCTTGAATATATAATGGAAGGAGGAAGCTTTAGAGTTCACAAGGTTAATGCTGTATGGAACAAAACTGACTGAATCTGGATGTTCTGCTTCGGATGCTTAAGTGTACTGAGAGTTATTTGCTTCCTGTATACAAAAACCAATGAGATGCTTGTCTTGACAAGGCTACAAATTGATTATATTGAAATATGCACTACTTCTATATATATCTAATGTAACACCAACAGCCCTATGGTTAAATTCTGCTTGATTTTATTGGAACCATATGCGCTGTTGAGTTTAGTATAGTTTTACGTATGTTTCAGTCTCAAAATACCCTATTTGCTTTCATGAATTCTTAATACCACTCCTATTTATTAATTGTTCCGTATCTGGTTACTGAAAATGAGGAGTCCCCATGTGTTTATACACAATTTAAATAATTTAATTTTTTTAAAATAACTATTTCACTCCTGTGTGGAATTGGGAATTTCCAATTTCTCTGGCTAAAATCCAGTTCTTATAGTGGTTCCTATCAAACGTTGTTGTAGAGGAGAAATGAAATGTGTTTTGTTCAGAAACTTTGTTGATGTTAATTTATTCCATTCATTTATTTCACGTTAATGCATATCCCGCTTTTTTTTTAATCTCACTTTTTTCTTAGTGGCGATAGAACATTTACAAACATTTATAGCGTACCCTATAAATACAGCAGTCTCTCAATTATTGGAACACCCTAACTTTGATAAAGTTTTAAGTATGTAACCTATTAACACATATTTTTTCAAAGAAAGAATAACTGGAAGCAGTAGAGAGGAGGAAGAGTCTTTAACTTCTGGGTTCCTGGGAAGTTCTCTGTGAAACTTGGCAGATACAAGTGGCTTGCATAAGCTTTCCATTTGGGGAAGAAAAAGTGAAAGGACAATCTAACCAAATTTGATTAAAATAATTGAATTAAATTGACTACAGCAGATACTGCAGTGCTTTAAGCGTTCCTGCTGATCTGAGCATTACATTCCATCTTGACCAATCGGAACCCTACCAATTGCCTGTGGCTTGGCCCAGACGCTTGCTTCTAGAGTAAGCCCGTGTCCTTTCTCTTTTTTATTTTTTGTAGCTGAGCCGAGCTACTGTGCATGATCCTCAGACTGGGAAACTGACCACAGCACATTACAGAGTCTCTAAGAGGTAAGAGGAGATGGGTATGTGTGGACTACAATGGGATTTGTCAATCGGCGGTTGATGTCAAAAGTTGGGACTGGGATCCTTTGTCTGAACAGTAGACACAGTCTTAAAACAGATTGCTAACACTTATGGCATTGAAAGTTTGGAATGTTTTAGATGTAAGTGCTAACCCAAATTAAGTTGTCGAAGCATGTCCTTCACATTCTTTCATTGAAATTAGTGATGCTTTAATGCTATTTAAGGCAGTTGGTGCATTCAATGTATTACTTCTCTGCACAATCCTAATGAAACTAGCATGTTGAGTTATTTCATCTTAAACACAATCTGTGTAAATTTCCTAACCTGAAGACGCTACATTCTACGATCTGTTTGCTTTTTAGCATGGCTCTCTATATCTATCTTAATTTTAAGACGACTTAAGAAACATATGACAAACAGGAAGCCATATATGATAATGATAGCTTGAAATTCCTAGTTCAGCATCTGTTTTTAAATAGAGAGTGCACAAAATATACCTGATCCTCAGCTAGCTTTTTGAAAAATACAGTCGCAGAATATTTGCAAGAAAGTATTTTAGTAAGCCACTGAATGTGGAACGTGATTTTTTTTACTGCTTCATGGGTTTTTTATTGTTATTTCAATGTGATTTTTTTTGTCATTTTGTGAAATACTACATACATTGAGAAAACTTACACGTATATGTTCAAAGCTAAAAATTTCCAAAACAGAAACTGTATTGGCAAAACTAACACAGATGTCAGAACAATTCCTTGATTTTTTTAAAAAAAGCATCCACTAGGACAGTGGTGTCCAACCTTTCCAGCTTGGTGGCCCAGCCTGGGGTGGAGGAAGGGTGTGTGAGTGGCAATGGAGCTTCACCCGCAAACAGAGTGCTTGTGCCCACACACAAAGCTCCACTTGCACTTTTGCATGAAGCTCCACTTGCGCAATGAGAGGCCGCTTGAGCGGAGGGTGCTTGTGCTCTCTCGCAAAGCTCCATTCGCGCAAATGGACAGCGCTTGAGCACAAGCGCCCTCCGATCATGCAAATGGAGCTTCACACGTGTATGTCCATCTCTTCCACAGCCCCATTTCAAGCAGGCCACGGCCCAGTACTAAAAACCAAAATAACTCCCTCTTGTATTTTTGAAGAGAAGCCCATTTTCTCTGCCCAGGCATTCCAGTAACTTTTTCCTAGTTAACACTTTCCATATTACAGTATGCCCTTGCAATGACAGGATTACTGTTCCTTCTGAAGTATGCGGCCGGCAGTTTGTATAAACTGGCCCAGGATTCTGAGCCAAGTCAATTGCTGTACTAAAATAACTTGGTCAATCTAGCCCAACCCTCTGCAAGATACTATTAAGAGTACATCCTTCTAAGAAATCCAGTTTTATCACTGTTGAAATTCCTACTTCTCTTTAAGTAAAACATTTTTTTTCATCACAGGAGAGAATACTGTTTAAATAATACTACTGAAGTATTTTATAAAATCCTTTCTTACAAATGGAGATTTAGAAGCTCTGAATAGAATTGTGGAATGTTGAAAAGAGTAAAAATTAACACTGATTATTGCAGTGACTGAGAAAGGTATACATGCCTGATGAATGTTAGTTTATTTGAAATTGGAAAAGCTTCTGTAATGCTTGAATTGATTAATTAATTAATTAAATTTAATGACCACCCATCTTACCACAGGGTAACTCTGGGCAGCTTACAGTCATAAAAATCTATATACATTAAAACATAGATTAAAATCAATTATTAAAATCTAAAATCTAATTATACTGGGGGGGGCAGGGGCAGAATTGGAGGAGGTGGGATCTGTTGTTACTTGATCAACCACCTCCACTGTTATAACTACCTTGTTTTTTGAATTAAAAAGTTTTCAGATGTATTGTAATATTCATATTCATAACACCACAATAGTATTTAGCTAACATTACTTTTTGAAGAGATACAGACAATACAAATAATTTTACCTTTGAATACTTTGAACTGAAATGAAATGTGTTGAGAATTCAAATTTCCTGAAGAAGAAATGGATATAAAATTGATAAAAATAAAAGTCCAAATAAGAGAGGCATTTAAGACTGAACTGTAAGATTCAGTACTGGAAAATAAAGAGTACATTTTACAATAATAGGAAGATGGGAAGGAAAGTAATGTATACTACCACAGAAAAGCAATGCAATAAATGTACGTATTAACTAATTCTTTGCTTTCTTTTTGGCCAAAGGATATTTAAGGTGATCTGCAACAGAACCTTGTAATTTCAGGTGCAATGTAGGTCAAAGCAGTACTGAGTAACTGGAGCCAACAATCTAGTAATAGGGAGGCTTCCTGTTTAACAGCTTAATCAGGAATGTGTTGAAGCACATCCAGATATTCACTGACTGAAGCAGGATTGAAATCAGAACTGCTTCCAAATGTACACAAGGAGCATGTGGAGGTTCATATGGGATAATTTGTAGTGGGGTGGCAAACAAATTTAATAAACAAACAAATAAAAATGGCACTTTAAGATATGATCCAGTTATTTAGCACTTTGTGACTATAAAAACAGAACTGTAAAGTGAGTCTAAAACAATGTTTATCAATCTCTTCAGCTTTAAAATGAGTGGATTTCAACTCCCAGAATTCACTAGCCAGCAATTCTGGGAATTGAAGTCCACTCATCTTAAAGCTGCCAAGAATGGAAAATATTGGTCTAAAAGCTGGTTAGTAGCCAAAGCAATCTCAGAGTGATTTAGAAAGCTTTGACTTATTTGACTCTGCTTGACTTATTGCTGCATTCCGTTGTGTCAGGGCCATACATTGAATTACACTCTTGTACAGATATACTGAGAGCAAATCCTATCTAAATCAATCAGATTGACTTCTGAGAATAAACTATAGATGGACAAATTGTAGGTTGCTGATGCCGAACAGTACAGTATTACTCTTTTGATGAGCTATCTTATTTTGTTCTCTGTAAGAAGAAGTGTGAGAAAACATTGATTTTTTTTAGTTTAGTTGCCAGGGGATACTGAACTGTCACCATGAAATATCAACTAGGAATCCCAGCTACAGAGCACAAGTAGTTCATTGGTTAAATATGGATCATACTACATATTAATTACTTTTAACACCTTCGTTGCTGTAAACTTAATTTCCCTCTCTAGGAGATAACTCTTCCTGATAACGCTTGATGTAATTTCAGTTTGTTTTGAGGCAGGAAATCCTTTTTTGTCTGCTTTGTTTCATATACTAACTATATACAACACTAACAGTATGCCAGCAATATACTAACAAGTGCATTAACCGAGTTTTTTAAAAAATCATTCTATATCTGGCAAATGTTCAGCTGTATTTCCTCCATACTCTTGAAGATTCTGTAATTTCTGTTGGTTCATGATCTGCTGCTCTTGATTAGTGATTTGTTGTGTTCCTATAGAAAGAAAGATAGCAAATCTGCTGGAGTAAATACATAACTCCATTCTTCCAATCCAGTAGAATGTGCTGAATTTCTCCAATACTTCAATGGTCATTGATGGTTTGTGAAAGTAATCCTGGGTTCTCTTGCAACTTTGGCTCATTCACTCTTTTTTGAAATGTGCATCCCAGAATATAGGTAGTCCTCAACTTACAACAGTTCATTTAGTTTGAAGTTACAACAGCACTGAAAAATGTGACTTATGACCATTTTTCACACATGTCCATTGCAGAATCCCCATGGTCACATAATTTACATTTGAATTCTTTTTTTTAAAACATGTTTTATTAATTTTTTCAGTTTTTACATCCAAGTAATTAGGAAGCAGCATGGTGATAGGGTAATCAATAATCCAATAACAAAATCATTCATATATCTGTCAGGTTACGTCGTTAAAATTCCCTCTATATTTCCCTTAATTATATCATATTCAAATTAATACATTTCTAGATAAAGCTCAATCAGTCAATACATTTATCAATAACATTTTACTTATACATATCCAAATCCTGTTTTAAAATTTTACTTAATTTCAGTTACCATATTCCAATTTAACCTTTAATAACCATAATATTTAAACTTCAGGTAAGCCTAATTTCCCTCGTTTCATTACAAGGTAATTATCGTATCTTGTAATTCTTACTTTATTTCACAAATATATTCTATTTTTCATCCTGATAGCTCCTCTTTACTAGTAAAATATCTTTCAATGTCACAAACCCATTTCCATATTACCATTCCAAACTATAATCTAACAATTAATTTTCATTTCCATTGTAAATCTAAATCCTAAATATTACATCAATCAATGTCTCTAAAACTCTCCTTAACCCATTAAGTAAAATTTTAAGTCCCATTTTTAAATCTAACTCTGGCTTTCTTTTTGTGCCAAGCAGGGTTCCATGCCAGGGCCTTTAAGTCTCAGATGAATCTCCCTTCATTAGACATGTTGTTTGAATCAAGGGAGAACATCCAGTTGTCAATTTTTCAAAGGAACTGGCCCCTTTGTAGTTATTAGGTTGTTGCCCTAATAATTGGTTTGGGATATTAATCATGTTTGGTTTGATTTGGGATATTAATCATCAGTTCAGTCTGGTCTTCTTCTTGTTCCAGTTCCATCTGACTAGAATAAAGAGTCATGTGGTGTTGTGGTTATTGTTAGCTTGTCTGAGTTGTCTAGGTTCTCAATATATTGTGTTTGTTGATCAGTTGATCAGTTCCTGCTGCTGTTGAAGTTACAGGTATTTTAGTTAAAGTCAGTATTTGATTCTCAAAGTTCTCAATAGATTGTAGATATTGTTGTGCAGCATCCTCTTTGATGTTAAGTTGTTCCTCTTCTATTGTTTTTTTGTTTATAAATTGATCAGTTGGAGTCTGGGGTTCAATTTGTAGTTTCTGGGTAGCATCTTTGGTTTTCACTCTGGCATTCATTAGCTCAGTGGCTTCAAGATTTTTTTCAAGTATGAGTTTATAGTTTAAGTTGTGGGTAAAGTTCCTCCATTTCCATAGTGATTAGAGATAGTTTTTAGTGGAGGCTATGTTTAGTAAAAATCAGCCAATGTCCACCTAAAAGTTATTTTCACCACCCAACTGTTTCCACTTCTTATCTTTTCCTTAGATAATGTGAAGAACAAATCAAGAGAGTCAGCAGGCCTCACAGTCAAAGAAATTCAATTGCTATACCAGGCCTAGCTACAAGATGTCCACAGTAGACCATAAAATCTTTTTTCCAGACGTCAGGCTTTTATCCAGTTAAAAAGCGAAAAAAGATATTTTTCAGACTTAGTAGATAGATAAAATGCTGAGTCTCTATAATAGGAACTTTTTGGGACCCCCAAAAAATAAAAATCCAGTTATTTAATTATTAAGATTAGATATTCTTTTTATTGTTGTTCCAAAGCTTAGATTCCCAAGGTGTATGCAAATGCCGCTGTATTAAGAGCGGGGAAGAAGTTTCAGGAGGCTTTCACAGGAAGGTAGTTAGGGTAAAAGAAAGGTAGAAAAGGGTCTCACCCAGATCTTCCATGGTGCTTCGTTGTGCTTAGTAGTACTTCTGGCTTTCGGCTGGTACGGCTAGGTGATCGGCCATGTTAATGGCCGATCTTTTCTTCGTCGATCCAAAGAAGCTGCCTCGGATCAAAAGGAAGGGCTGCTGCCCTTCCGTGATCAAACGAGGGTCCTCCTCAGTGGTGGTTGCCCCTCCAGGGCAACTTTCAACCCTTTCCAGGGTCTCTCGAGAAACCGGACAGCGGAGAGAGGGCTCTCCCCGCGCGTCCGCTGGTGCCGCGATCCGGAACCGGAAGCCTACATTTGAATTCTTGACAACTGACTCACATTTATGACACAGTGTCCTGGAGTCATGTGAGCGCCTTTTGCGACCTTCTGACAAGCAAAGGTAATGGGCAAGCAGATTCACTTAACAACCATGTCACTAACAACTGCAGTGATTCACTTAACAACAGGGGCAAGAAAGGTCGTAAAACAGGTCGTAAAAATCACTTAACAAGTGCCTCATTTAACAATAGAAATTATGGGCTCAGTTGTGGTTGTAAGTTGAGAACTACCTGTATGATGCACCAAAGAAGAGGGGGGGAAAAAGATTGCTTCATAGCATTCCGACAATTGTGAGAAGAATTGGATAAGTAATGTTTTGTTTCCCCTTTCCATTATAGTTAATGGTGAAAAAATTATGTTGCTCTAAAGCAGTGGTCCAGTATTTTTTCTGATGCACACAACCTATGTGATCCTGGGTTCACTCATTTACTCCACTCATATTATACCAGAAATCCTGTGTAGAAAATAATACGTTGCTCACAGAATATACTATTTGAAGTTTGACTCAGCAGATTTTTTTTTTAATTAATCCTGGATGTGCTCTAGCTAAACAAGTCGGAATTACATTTCATGCGAAACAGTGTGTAGACTTAAAAAATATTTCTTGTAAATTACATTGGGGTTAGATTTTATAGACTACTTTGCACAATTAAAATTAGTTTCTGATTGGTCATGAAAATTAATACTGAGATCTTGTTGTTCATGAATAATACTCTTAATTTCATTTTTAGTGCCTGGCTATCTGGATATGAAAACCCTGTAGTGGCACGTATAAATCAGAGGATACAGGATCTAACAGGGTTGGATGTTTCCACAGCAGAGGAGCTCCAAGTGAGTTTATAAAAAAAGAAAAATATGTGACAGAACAGGCATTCATTCATTCATTCAGAAATTTATTTGCCACTCCTGTCTCAAATGACTCTGGGTGGCTTATAACATCACAACATTAAAAACATTAAAATTATCAGATGTAAAATAAACAAAATAGATAATTTTTCACTGAACGTTGAATGAAATTGAAAGCATATAAAACAAAAGCTTCCCTATTAAGGGTTCCAGTACTTTTAACTTTGCATCTGCAAGGGCTGCTGAATTAATATGTTCAAATTGTTTGCATTAAGTGTTATTTGCAGGTCTGCAATGCTGCTGAATAGTTCCTGCTTTAGTTTTTGCAATTGCCTATACAGGTCGTCCTCGACTTACAATCATTCGTTTAGTGACCATTTGAAGTTAAAACAGCACTGAAAAAAGGGACTTATGACCACTTTTCACACTTATGACCATTGCAGAATCCCCATAGTCACATGATCAAAATTCAGATGCTTGCAACTGACTCAAAATGGTTGCGGGTCTATGACAATTCACCATGGCCAACTCATCATGGCCAGCTCGCCATGGCGAGTGACAATTCGCTGTGGGACAAGAATTACACTAATATCAAAGAAATGGTGGAATAGAATCATTAAGGAAAGGGTGCAAAAGGAAGGACAGAATGAAATGTGAATGACTAAATATTTTTTATTTTGAATAATTGAATTGAATTGTTAAATTGTCCAGTGGCACATTGTCTTGCGGCGAGTTAGCCCGCAGCAAATTGGCCATAGTGAGTTGGCCATGACAAGGTGGCCGCAGCAAGTGGGCTGTGGCGAGTTGTCCCATTCTGATGATTACAGTGTCCCAGGGTCATGTGATCTTACCTCTTGTGACCTTCTGACAAGCACAGTCAGTGGGGAAGCCAGATTCACTTAACCATCGTGTCACTAACAAATGCAGTGATTCACTTAACTATGGAAGAAAAGTCATAAAATGGGGCAAAACTCACCTACCGTGTTTCCCCGAAAGCAAGGCCTATATCAACAGTAGGCCCTACCTTGATTTTTGGGGGTGGGCCTAATATAAGCCCTACCTCAAAAATAAGCCCTAGTTTTGTGGTGAGGCACATACCTAAAAATCAAGCTAGGGCAGGGATGGGGTTGTGGAGCTGCCCCACCCACCCTGCATCCACTTACCTTGCAGCCAGGCCTCTCCTTGCCAGCCCATTTCTTCTTCTGAGGCCTCTTCTGCAGCCAGGCCTGCATTTCTCAGTCACAGGGCTTTCCGAAAGGCCTGTGCAGCCAAGAACCGAGCTACGGATTCAATCCATAGCTCAGTTCTGCAAGACCTCAGCAGCCAAGCACCAAGCTGTGGATTGAACAGGTAGCTCGGTACTCGGCTGCTTAGGCCTTCTGGAAAGGCCTGACTGCAAAATACAGACCTGAATGCAGCTGCAGAACCTCAGCCCCAGAAGAAGTAGACCTGCTGGGTGGGGCTGTCAGTGCTGGAGGTGAGGTAAGGCCTACCCTGAAAATAAGACCTGGTGCCTCGTTTGGAGGCAAAAAAACAACAACCCGGTCTTATTTTCTGCGAAACACGGTAACAACGGAAATTTTGGGCTCAGTTGTGGTCGTAAGTCAAAGATTACCTGTACGTCCCTTTAGGGAGACTTGCTACTCTGAAGATTTAAGTTGTTCTATTGTCTTGTAGTCAGATTTCACCTTAGAAATGAAGCAAGTGTCTGAGGTCACATCTTATATCTTTCACTGAGTGTTTGTCCTTCTTTTACTGTAGGTAGCCAATTACGGAGTAGGAGGCCAGTACGAGCCTCATTTTGATTTTGGAAGGGTAAGTCTTTCTTCGCCTTCGAGCTTCATATGTGCTGTGTTTCTTTTTTTCCAGGTAGCAAATTATGGAATGGGAGGACAGTATGAGCCCCACTATGACTTTGCTCGGGCAAGTAAAATGATGGGTGAAAGAAAAGTTTGCGGAGCTTAGGCTTTTGGGATGTTATTGGAAGTGTCTTATATCTGTATTACATTTGGGCTTTTGAGTGGTCTAATCCATCTGACTGGATAAAGCTTCCTAAATCGCCATTTGAACAGTAAAAAGATAGTCAGTTGCAATAAACTATTAAGGAAAAAGTTAAAAGCAGTGGTGGGATTCAGCCAGTTTGCACCTTTTCAGCAGAACCGGTAGCTAATTTTTTATTGCCCAGGCCCAGAATGGACTTCCGGAAGCGGCATCCATACATATTTGAATCCCACCACTGGTTAAAAGTGTCACTTCATAGAAAGTGCTTTACAGAAAAAGGTTGCTGACTCATTGGGAATAGTGATAAAGCAACTTTATATTATATTAGTGGCATATAGACAAAGCAATGGTCAGCTTTCGTTTTTAGCTATATTAATTTTACCAAATTTAGCTCATTAAAATAATCACAGTTTGTACCCCTGGTTTAAAGTGTTGCGCTGATCAAAAAAAAAAAGATGATTTTGAAATTCAGTATATCAGCATTTTAATGCCTGTTTATATATATTTTTCTTAATGAACTATCTTTTAATCCAAAAATGGAATAAATTCAGATGGTGATTTACGAAGCATTGGTGTAAAGTAACATTTTCAATTAACATTTTTCTTGAACCAACCTTTCAGGTAGTAATTTAAAAATTCTTGCCTTAACACAAGATCAAACTTCAATTCACTTTGTTGCTTAAAATCCTCTGATGTGCTTCTCAAATCAACCGTATATTAACATGTCTTCATGCATAGCTTTAATTTCTGTCCTAATATTTTTGCAGTGCGCCTATGAACTTCTGAAGTGTGTTGTAAATTCTACTATGCTACATAATGCCCAATGTATTTCAATTTAATATTTTGTTTATTTAATGAAATCTTTATTTTAGCCACTAACGGGCCTTGTCAGGGCTACTTACAATAAAATAGTGATTTATAAGAAAGAAAACAATGAAATGTAAAATCAGTGTTAAACAGGCAGAAAATAAATGAAATACAGTAGTAGCAGAAATATCATGGATTAAAAGATATCCCAGCTTTTATAACTGCTGAAAAAAATTAAGATTAAAAAAATAACTAATACACTGTCTAAGCTGGTTTGAAAAATATTAAGAGCGCAGGTGTCAAACAAACCTCCCTGGAATGACTGGGTAATGCAAATAGTCCTTGACTTATGGCTACAGTTGAGCCCAAAATTTCTGTTGCTAAACATGACAGTTGTTAAGTGAGTTTGCCTCACTTTATGACCTTTCTTGCTACAATGAAGTGAATCACTGCAGCTGTTAAGTTAGTAATAGGGTTGCTAAATTAAGCTAGCTTCCCCATTGGGGAAGGTCAGAAGGTCACAAAAGGTGATCACATGACCCCGGGACACTGCAACTGTCATAAACACATGTCAGTTGCCAAGCATCTGAATATTGATCATGTGACCATGGGGATTCTGTAACAGTTGTAGGTGTAAAAATAGTCTTAAATCACTTTTTTCAGTGCCATTGTAAATTTGAAGGGTCACTAAACGATTGCTTGTAAGTCAAGGACTACCTGTAATAAGCCACCATTCAAATGTTTTACTACCCCTGGAGGAGGGCTTTTAAAGAAGATCTTTCCTAGAAAAAGCAGGTCTTTTCTATGCATAGAAAACAGTTTCCTGCAGGTTAAAGTTAAAATCTTTAAGCTGGGCAAAAGGGCAGGAAGCTATTGCAGTACTTAATCATATGGAGGAAGCACTGCAATTTTTAAACTATTTTAAACATCTGCATATGAAAGTAATTAAGTTTACCAGCATGAAAAGGTTTATCTTGTAATTCTAGGATGAAAGACATTCTGTTTGCATTGGCACAGCTTGCTTAAGCTGACAAGTATAATTTAGTTGTTTGGTTGACTTAAATTGTAGTTAGTGGACAGCATACAATCCCCTGTTGTCTGGATTTTTAAAAATTATTTTTAGATGTAGGAGAGTTTGTTTTGTAGGAACTGTAGCACCCTGGAAACTGTGTGTAAAGAAATTTGTATATGTCTGCCCTGTTTATTGATGATTGTTTCTTTATGGATTTTTTGAATAACCCGTGTGCTTTAGAGAAGAATTTGTTCAGTAATGCCTGTGGTATTGGAATCATAAGTAGATTTTATATCACCAGTAATCTTTCAAGTTTGACTATACATCCAGTCAAATTTGGCAAATACAATAGAACTGGTTTTTAAAATGTCAACAAAAGATTAAAGACAATTGCATAATGAATTCTCCAAAACACATCAGGTTTTGTAAAATAGCAAAAAAGTAGGATACAACATATGGTAGAGGATTGTCGATGATATGTTACAGGCATTCATAAAGTGGTGGCTCAAAATGGCTAGAATTTTAGGAGGTTGCCAAAAAAAGTGAACCATTTCAGTGACTTGATACAAAGACAGCAAGAATGCATAGGATGTTACTACATAGCTCATTTTTGGGGATGGGTTTCAAAAAAATTGCTGATCAATTTCATGAACATAGGCTCTCTTATCCATTCCAAAAAGAAGAGAGTTTTCAACAAGTAAGTGGTGCAGATTTCCCTTTGTATATAATGTAGAAGAATAACAAATTCGTGCTTTGTATTTTAAGAATTTTGTAGGCTAACTATGTAATCCAGCTATTCAAAAGAGTTATTACCTGAATAAAACAATGTTAGCTTCAAGGAGAAAAAGCCCTACTACAGTTTTTCTTGCCTTTCAGATCTTCCAAGAAGAATTATACTTAAAAAATGTTTCCTCGGTGTGTCATTGTTGTTTTATTCATAATACCATCTATGTCTTTGAACACAGAAAGATGAACCAGACGCCTTTAAAGAACTGGGTACAGGCAATAGAATTGCTACGTGGCTATTCTATGTAAGTAAGATAAGTTATTAGGATGTCCACACTTATAATGCAATCAAGGAATTTGTCTCAGTGAGAGAGAAAACATCAATTGCTGAAGAACACAGAACTTTTTGTATTTTTCCAATTTATGTTATGGCACTGTAGAAGGACAAGTGTTTGGTATTAGACACAGCAGTTTGGGAGAAACATTCTGTATTGTACATCATGAGTTATGTTTTTATAGGTGACTGGAATGAACCATTTTTTCACAAAACAGTGTCCTTAGCTAGATATCCTTTATCATAAATATCCAGTAAGAACATAATAGGCGTGCTTGATCAGATCAGAGGTTGGCCCATCCAATGCTGTGTGTACCAGACTCTGCTGATGGATTTATCCTGAGTCAGAGGATTGGCACATTAAGTTTAAGATTGTCACCTCTAAATGATAGCACTTATCTGAAGTCTGTTAAGCAGACAACCCAGTTTCCATAGTACTACAGTACTTCAGCTGTAACTTTTAATTGAAGATTTAGAACTTTCTACATGCAAAACATTTAGTTTACCTTTGTGCTGCCAATTAAGCCATTATTCTGTTATCATGGTGCCCAGCCAAATGCTTCTGGGAAATTCATCAAGGAGCCATGAGCAAAAATTTTTCTCTTCCTCCTGTATTTTTTTCCTTCAAGTAAATATTGAAAATCATAAGATTTGCTTGCTGTCCATCTCACTTTGAGGTGACTCTGGGCAGCTAACCACAATGGAAGCCAGTAAAACCAAGAAGAATAAATAGTTTTTTCATAATAGTAAAGATTAAATTAAAAAGATGGGAAGGAAGGAAGGAAGCAAGATGGCCAGAAGGGGGAAGGTGGGGGTCTTCTCCTAATCCATCAGCCACTTCCAGTATGATACTCTCCCGTTGGGGCCCCAAGCCCCAATTGGCAGAGCCAGGCCTTCAGGTCCTTATGAAAGGTCAGAAGCATGAAAGTGGATCTCAGCTTGTCGGGGCAAGATGTTCCAAACGGCAGGTGCTGATATTGGAGATATTCATAAGAAGGGGTCATACACACTTGTTTTAGCCTGTTCTAAAGTCCCCATTGTTCAGCTTCATTGGAAGATCTCAGTTCTAGATTTGAAAAAAATGGGGAAAAATGTCTCTTGATTGACTTTCTTTATAACTGTCATCTCGCCTTCTGTTCACCTATGCTCACTTTTTATTTTTTTATTTATTAAATTTATTGGCCACCCTTCTTACCACACTGTAATTTTGGACAAAGTTTTTCTTCGTTATGATATTTCTTCAGATAATTAAGTACCTTGTTTATTATTTTCTGCCTCTTTTCTAGGGCTACAATATTTTTATGGCAATTACAAAAAGCAAAAAATATACCAAATCAGGTTATATTGTAAGCTTTACGAAAACATTGTGATGGTGGTGGTTTTATTTTCTCACTCTTGTCCTCCTGATTTTCCCAACATGAAACTTGCCTTTTTCAGAGTAAATATCCATAAGGCATTTTTTTTCTTTCAGTTTTCCACCACAATCCCAAAAGCTTTTCCCTTGTCCATAATCTAACAATATAGTTTCATCAGCATTCATGTGATCAGCATATATGTTACTGAACTATATTTACTATTTTCCCAGATAAATAATTATTGGACCCTTTTGCCTCTTTGAATATTGCTTTCTTTGAATTAGCATAAATAATTGGGTGGCATCAACATTTTACCTTTTTTATCAGTTTATTAATGGAATCTGTGGGATTACTTTTCAGTTATGGTTCAAAGAGAGTTGGGAATGGATAGTCACTTTTTCTCCTTTTCAGATGAGTGATGTGGCAGCAGGAGGAGCAACTGTATTCCCTGAAGTCGGAGCCAGTGTTTGGCCAAAGAAGGTAAGTAAGGTGACCATCTCCGACCATTCTATTCATGTACCTCATAAAGGTTCTGGTATCTTTTTGTTTTTGCTGGCAGAAAGATAAGAGTTGGATTTTGAAAGTAACACTTTTAGAGGAAAGATAGGACAGGTCCAGGTCATCCATCCAGTGGTGGGATTCAAATATGTGAACAACCGTTTCTCTGTGTGGATGCCGCTTCCGGAAGTCCATTTTGGGCCTGGGCAACAAAAAATTAGCTACTGGTTCTACCGAACTGGTGCGAACTGTCTGAATCCCACCACTGCATCCATGCATCCATGCCATTTTGTTTTCTGACCATACATTGGCCCAAAGGATTCTTTATGTCTTCTTCTGACGCCATGTGAAGCTGCATCAACTCTTTTGGTTGCCAGATTAGGAAGCAGTTGCAACAGCTGCTTAATTCACCTTGAGAGTTGGCAATCTGTAGAACCAGTCATGACCTCTCCATTTGCTTTGTTTCAGTCTGGTGCTCACTGGAGGATCTGATGTAACTTTGTATGGTCACTAAGATACCAGCTGTAAGTCAAGGACTACCTGTACATAGGAACAGTTATGCCACATGTTTTCTTTTCTTTCTTCTCTTGTAGGCCTTGAAGCAATAGTCCTGGACTTATGAAATAACGCTTTATTGTTATATCTAAGTTTGAACACAACAGTTTAAACACTGGCAACAAGCTTAGCTTCCCCATCAGAGGCAAACAGCAGTTTGCAGTCCTAGTTTGTTGCCCATTCCTGTTATGTTTTACAATAAATTAGAAGAGTAAATAATCTTAATAAGCCCAATAATTTTTATATTAAAAGATTTGGGGCTGCCCTCATTTTTAATGAAACTGAAATATTGCCAGCTGTTTAAACTTGGATGAAAGGAGTGTAGATAGGATGTGCAAAATGTTTTGTTTTGAACCATTTCCAAAGGTGAAATTCCATCGACCTCTTATTTTGAGTTGTTTTGAGCATTTTGTAACTTGAGATGGATAATTTTGTGAAAATTCACCCTTGAAATCATTTGAAATGAAATACAGGTAGTTCTCCCCTAATGACCATTTGTTCAGTGACCATTTAAAGTTAGGGCAGTGCTGAAGGAATAGTAGTTACGTGTGGTTGCTGAAAGAATGCCCTTGCAGTCATATAATCAAAATTCAGATCGCTTGGCAGGCCATCCACATTCACATCTGCAGGGATGCTTCAATTCTCCCCACCCGCTTGTCTCCCCCTTATCTCTGCCCCCTTGACTGCCGTGCACTCCGCTGCCTCTCCTGGGCTTATGCCCCATGCTACACTTCCAAAGCCTCAAGAATAAGCTACACACTATTTGGGCAAGGTCGGAAATGTCCTTGGGAAGAAGACCTGGCACAGCCAGCAACTGCCAGGGCCAGGACAGGTGCACCTCTTCGGCAGCGGGAGGAAGAAGACAGTGAAGATCACCTGGAGCGGTTATGGTGGTGCAGAGGCAGTGGAGTTTAGGGTGGCCAAAAGGACAGAGATGGAGGAGGAAGATAAACTGGGTCGGAGGAGTTGAAATGGTGGCAGACTCTTACCTTATTGAGGCTCACAGCTGGGAGGGACCAAGCTAGGAATGGGATTGTATTGGGGTTGATCCTCATAGAGGAAAAATATTTGTAGCTCAGGGATGAAATAGAGGTCCTTGGTCCTCTGACCTTGGTTGTTTTCTTGTAGATGTTTCATTACCAAACTAGATAACATCATCAGTGCTGGTTGGGAATGGGGTTTGCTCTCATTTTATATACCATTTCTGGTAGCTTGTCCTGGCAGGATGAGTGAACGTGGTCTTGGTGGATTTTCAGCTAATGACTGGGTGGTTAACAACGGCAATAGGGAGTGTCAGGATTGCCATTGCTAAGCAACTCTGTCAGATGATGTTGTATCTCATCACTTAGTGATGGAAATTCCAGTCCCAATTATTGTTGTTATCTAAGGACTACCTGTATTTTGCCCACCCCCTGAAATGTAGCATTTGAGGAATACTAGAAACCAAGGCAGTGGGTGATGGAGAGTGCTTTGCCGCATCCTTTCAGGCATTTGGAGGATATTTCTTTTTGCGTTTTTCAAAAGTTAACCCCCAAATAAGTTGCTGTTACTTTGTGTTTTACTAGGGGACAGCGGTATTTTGGTACAATCTTTTTCCAAGTGGTGAAGGAGACTACAGCACCCGGCACGCTGCATGTCCAGTATTAGTTGGTAACAAATGGGGTATGTATGAAATTTGAAATTTTAATAGTCCCCTTTTAAACTCTGTATGGAACATCCTTGAAATGTCCCAAGTAGAAGGACATATTAAACTTTTTGTGTGAAGAGTGTGGAATCAGAATGGAAACACACTTGCATGTTTTTGTTTTACTTTCTCCCATTGCGAACAGTGAAGAGAAGTTGTTTAATCCACACCTTGCGACACAGGTTATGTGGAAATGGATTGGGGGTGGAGAGTGACTTAATGATTTCTCAGATGCTAAGTGCCTCTTAGCCCTAGCAGGGATCTATGTGACGTTCGGGAATCCCCCATCCAAAACCAGAACCTGTTTCTAGCTTGAAAAATGGTTTGACACTTAGGTTTGATTTTGATTTTGATTTTATTAAATTTATACCCCGCCCTTCTCCCGGAGGACTCAGGGCGGCTTACAGCCAGTTTAAAACAATGGTATAGTACAATACAAAATTTAAAAAAGATTAAAAATAACTATTCAAATTTGGCCGCTTCTACTAAAAATTTAATTTAAAACCCCTCTAAAATACCCCTAGGCCAGTCCTGCCTGCTGAAATAAGGTATTGTGAGGGAATGTGCATCTGGAATAGCAGTGAGGAGAATTTCCCAGAGAAAGGCCTGGATTAAGAGACAGTGCAGTCCTAAGCTGGTGGGAGAAGGAGGAAGAGGTTCAGAATGGCCATAACCTAGAATCTCTTAGGATAGCAAAAAGATAGAGCTTTTGTTCAGCAAGATTCTGTCTATTAGTTGTAAGCAAATAAAGGATTGGACTTGATTGGATCTTGCTGTGTTGTCTTTGGGCTCGAGCCTGACAGATATGGTTCAAGCATAGCACTCTAATTCTCCTCATCCCAATAATAAGTACAGGTAGTCCTCAACTTACCACCATTCATTTAGTGACTGCTTGAAATTACAGTGGCACTGAAAAAAAGTGACTTATGACATGACCATTTTTCACACAACTGTTACAGGATCCTTATGGTCATAGTTGGCAACTGACTCATATTTATGACAGTTGCAGTGGTCCCAGGATCACATGACCACCTTTTGCGACTGTCTGATAAGCAAAGTCAATGGGAAAGCCAGATTCACTTTAAACCATATTACTAAATTAACAAATGCAGTGATTCGCTTAACAGCTGTGTCAAGAAAGGTCATATGAGGCAAAACTCACTTATAATAACTGTCTTGCTTAACAATGGAAATTTTGGGCTCAGTTGTGGTCATAAGTCGAGGACTACCTATATGATACCATTTATGTGGCACTTTTATAGGTGGATTGGTCATTAAATATAACTAGGTGTGACTTACCAGTGTGGTGAAATAATAATGGTTTTGGTTAAGAAGTAGGGAGAAAAGGTTGATCTTCACCCTCGTCCATGACATCTCACTAGCTAATTCAGGGTCAGTCACTGTCTTTCAGCCTAACCTACCCTTTTGATGGTTGCTGTAGGGCAGGGGTCCCCAACCCCCAGTCTGTGGACCAGTACCGGGCCGCTTCATGCCAGTGACCGGTCCGCACAAACAAGCAAAGCCCCACCCGTGGGATGCAGGCAGCACACAAAACCACACACTCTCTAGTCCGTGGAAAAACCTTTCTCCAGGGAATCGGTCCCCGGTGCCCAAAAGGTTGTGGACCTTTGCTGTAGGGAAAAACTGGAGGAACAAATGTTATGTATACTGTCTTGAGTTTCTGAAAGGAAGACAGGATGAAAATTTGATGAGCTAACAAATACTTCCTTTCCCCCCCTTTTTTATAGTCTCCAATAAATGGATCCACGAGCGTGGGCAAGAGTTTCGAAGACGGTGTGCCTTATCAGAGTTTGAATGATACCAGTCCCCTTTTATTTTTTAGGGCAAATTATTTTTCCCTTTCTCATTGCCTTGATTAATTAACACTGATAGTTTACACTAATATCCCACTCCAACTTTTGTCTCCAGTGCCAATCACTCTTTCAACTATGGACAAATATTTTATCTATGGACAATATATATATATATATATTTGCAGATATACCCATTTAAATGTTTTTATTGAGCGATATGCTTCATTTCTAATGACTGTAAGATGCCATGGCTAAAAATCTTCTGTAGAGACACCAAGTTTGTGAAGGAAGCAGAATGGATATATGAACTTTTCATCATCTGACAACTGCTTTGCTTGGATGGTAAGATATTATATATCACTTCTACTTGTTTCTTTAGTTTTGAATGCCTGAACACTTCTGTAAAAACCAGTTGTGCTTCTGGGCCTTCACTGCAAATTGTCTGTCTTTGCCTGGTTTTACCAAGTGCCAAAAAACTCAGAAACAAATTCTTCCTCCCAGTATAGTTTTTTTCTTCTTCTTATGCCTCACAAATAAATTGAGCTAATTCCAAGAAATGAGCCAGTAACTGTCTACATATAAAAGGCTTGAACAGAACTGCAGTTGTGCTTTGTCTGCATATGCCGGAGGACCCCTTTTGAAGGAAAGTTGTAGAAAATGACTTTTGTGTGTGTATCTAAGTGCGGCTCATCTTTTTAAATGTCATTGTGATTCAAGATTGTAATTTAAAATGTACTGCTGCTTTTTATTCTGTAAGGAATAACAATTTTACCCCGTGAAGGCATGGAGACAAGATCAGTTCTGACATAACATAGAGCACTGTGCCTTATCTACCGAATTTGAATTTGTATGAAACCATATGTATAAGAAAATGCATACTTCCCTTACCAACAATACCAAACCTTGTTTTCCAATGGAGGGGCTTTGTGAAAAAAAAAAAGACAATATATTTATAATACTAAATCTTTTGAAAGTTCTTTGTGGTCTGGAGAATGATTTATGTTGTGAGCCTCAGGTGCACGTTGTCTCTGATACAAACTTTTTAACCAAGTCTCTGTTCATAAAGGGTGGCGTCTGAAATATTAAATACAGATAATTCTGAAAAAGCTTACAATAGCACTTAGATTTATATACCGCTTCATAGTGCCAGCAACTGGTCCGCACAAACAAGCAAAGCCCCATCCACAGGATGTAGGCAGCACACAAAACCACACACCCTCTGGTCCATGGAAAAACCTCTCTCCACGGAACCGGTCCTTGGTGCCCAAAAGGTTGGGGACCTCTGGTCTATGGGTAGTCCTCAACTTACAACCACAATTAGGACCAGAATTTCTTATTGCTCAGCAAGGTGATTGTTAAGTAAGTTACACCTGATTTTATGATTTGTGTCATAGTTGTTAAGTGAATCCTGCGATTATAAAGCAAATCTGGCTTTCCTAATTGATCTTGCTTTTTGGAAGCTGGCTGAGAAGATCCCAAATGGCAACCATGTGATCCCGGGACACTGAAACCATCATATAAATACATGCTGGTTTCCCAGTCCCTGAATTTTGATCGCATGGTCATGAGGATGCTCCACTGGTCATAAGTGCAAGGACCAAGTCATAAGTCACATTTTTCAATGCCATTGTAATTTCAAATGGTCACTAAATGAATAGTTGTGAGTTGAGGGTTACTTATACTGCTTTACAAATGTTTCTCTCTTCATCTTTATGTCTTTGGGAGGGTATGGAAAATATTTAATGTCCAGAACAACACAAATCACTTCTTTTTTTCTACAAGATGAATTGCTGCAAACCTGGTGGACTACCCAGAACATGGTCAAATTGGAGCAAAGGGAGAATGGAATATTTCCAAGTTATTCCAAGCATGGGGTATTTTGTCTATGCCTAATTTTAAGCAACAAACATGTGAAAGATTGTATTCAAATCAGCAAATGAAGCTATATTTATTTGTTATGTATATGTAGGGGTATGGGTCTATACATATGTTGTACATAGTATGTTTAGGTGTGTGTCATGTATATGTTTTCACTTTGAGAGCAGGCAACTAAATTTCATTTTTGATGCGTGCCGTTGTGCCCACAGGAAAAAAAATGACAATAAAGGTTATCTTATCTATAACATAAGATATACCTGAAAATGAAGTGGCAACTACTTTGGTAATGGACCTAATAAGCTGAATTAAACTATTGGACCAACACAATTCATTCTCTGCACTGACTTGAAGCAGACCTCCAAGTCTAATGATTTTTTTTTTCTGACCCAACTTGATTAAGCTATATTCACCTTAACAATTGTCTAAATAGAACCATAGAATCACAGGGCTGGAAGGGACCTTGGAGGTCTAGTCCAACCCCCTGCCCAAGGCAGGAGTCCTGATACCCTCCCGGACAAATGATTATGCAATCTTTTCTTGAAAACCTCCACGATGGAGGACCCATAACTGCGGAAGGCAAGCTGTTCCGCTGATTAATCGTTCTTACTGTAAGGAAATTCCTCCTTATTTCCAGGTTAAATCTCCCTCTGACAAGCTTCCACCCATTGCTTCTTGTCCTGCCCTCAGGTGCTATGGATAATAAATTTACTCCCTGTTCCCTATGAAAGCCCTTCAAGTATTGGAAGACTGCTGTCATGTCTCCCCGAGCCTCTCTTCATTAGGCTAAACATACCTAGTTCCCTTAGTCATTCATCATATAATTTAGCCTCCAGACCCCTTATCATCTTTGTTGCTCTTCTCTGCACTCTTTCTAGGGCCTCAGCATCTTTTTTGTATTGTGACCAGAACTGGACATAGTATTCCAAGTGTGGTCTCACCAGTGCAATATAAAGCAGTACTATCACTCCCCATGATCTTGATACTGTCCCTCTGTTGATGTAACCTAGAGCTTTTTTGGCTGCTGCAGCACACTGCTAACTCATATTTAAGTGATTGTCCACTTAAGATCCAAGATCCCTCTCACAGTCAACTGCTGTTGAGCCAGATACCTCCTATACCTATGTGTTTGGTTTTTTGTGCCTAATGCTTTTCTCACCATTGATCTGCATCTTGTTGAATAGGGCTCAATGCTCTTTAGATTGTCTAAATTGAAAATAATAAACAAATTTCCTCATCGTATAACTTGCCACAATATATTTGAACAAGGATACAAAGAACAATTAAATGCTAAAGCAAGTATTTCTGATCTCCACTCAGAACAACAGGAAGTGAACAATCAACTCAGTTTTACACCTAACAACCTGACAACATCACTCTCTATAGAGAAATTCATTCTTAAATAGAAGAAATGGATTCAATTTAGGCATATCTTAAAAGCTACAGCAGTTTGAAAGCTGAAGCACTTAAGCTTGTTTTAGTAATTTTGCTCTTAGTGACTATTCCAGATTTAAAGCATGTTGTTTTATGGATTTATTGCAAAAAATGTATTTTTACAAGTGTTGCAAGGGTAATGGTTGTACTGTTCTCTTAGAAAATGCTGCAAATGATTATTTACTTTGATCAGGATGCTAACCTCATATTTGGGGAAAATATGGATAGAAAGAGGGCCAAGTCCATTAGAGCTGCCCATTGAGGCTTTGCATTATGCTTACACTGTGGGGAAATATCATGTTAAGCAGTTTTCTTTCTATAACTTAAGTCTGAAAAGGACTGCAAATTGGCAAATTTCATCTTGATTAAAGTGCATCGGTGCACATTCTCCAGCATGATGACTGAAGAATCCACCAATGGGTTATTTCAGTCCTCCTGCCCAATCAGATTAAGTTGTCAAGTTGTCACGCCCCCTGCTTGACTGGGACCTCCCAGTTTCATCTTAGTCTTTCGCCCATGAGCACGTGATAACTTGACTCTCCAGGCAGGTTAGACTTATTGAAACTGTTACACCAATTGGTGGATTCTTCAAATCAGAAGATTGGAGGCTTCCAGTCTCTGATTATTCCTACAGGGGATTTTATCCTCTCTTTCCTTTAAACGGGGGAAAAAAGAAGTACTTTTCTCTCCTATCACTGGGGGGGCGGTCTCTTTACTCTCCCCATATCTCAGCAGCCAGCTGAGTCCCTTTCCAGCCCCTATCAGGTTACTGGGAGGTGGCTTCCCTTTCTCTGTAACTCAGCAGTTTGCTAAGTCTCATTCCCAGCCCCTCTCAGAGACACTCACTGCCGAATTTCACAGAGATTGCCTCCGTCGGCGATTTTGCTCTTGCGGCCGCCATCTTGAGGCCGCTCGGCCTTCTGTTCCTTGCTGGCCTCCGTCGATGCTCACCTGCTCGCGGCCGCCATCTTGAGACTGTTTTCGGCCTGCAACTTCTCTCCGAAGTCTCCTGCAGCCCAGCGGACGGGCCTAACTCAGCTGATTGTGAGCGCTGCGGGGGAGAAGAGGTCTAATCAATCCTCATCTCCCCGGTTGTTGAATTTCAGACGGAGGCCCGGTTAAGGGGCCGTCAGCTCCTTCGTGCCTCACAGCAATTAGGCGTGAAGCATCCAGTCTCTCCGAACTTAAGGGCCCTTAAGTTATTAGGATTCACTGGAGAACTTGTATTTACAACCAGATTCAACCAGAATCCCCCCCCCAGGGTTGGCCCCCCCCAGGGTTGGGGACGACCGCCTTTTTGTGAGGCAGTATTCCACAGGGAATATTCTAGAACTGCCTCACAGTTGGAGTTCTTAACACTGAGAGGCCTCTCATAGTTGTCTAGAGTGACCCATTCTATGTATAGGCAACAAGCCTTGGATTAATTCTAGTTATCTACTTGTATAGTCTGCTTTCATTCAAATACTAGTTAAAAATTACAACAACATACCACCTATCTATCTACAACAACATACCACAAGCATCTATCAAGCCCTGCTTGCCTAACGCGCCTTAGCCTCAATTTCTGCCACTCTGCATCTAGTGGTTGCTTGCCAAGACCTGACCATCGCCACTATTGTGAGACGCGTGTGATTTCATCACCACTTTGGCCACAGATCTAGGCATACGGATTGTCCTTGGCCTTGGTGACGAGGGCCTTGAAGCGCCTAGCGGGAGTCCAGCTTAGCCAGTGGGCCGGCTCACGCTAATCCACGTGCAGTCAGTCCCCCCACGGGGGGTAACTGACATCTCTTGCAGAGCGAGTCAGTTCCAGAGCCTCATCTGGAACGCCTCTCGACCAACCATGGCAGACTTCACTGAGCCAAACCCTTTGGATGCGGACAAGCAATCCAGCCACATAGAACCCGCTCCAGAGGTGACCAGGGGGAAGGCCAAAGCCAAATCCAAGTATGGCAGGAAGGCAAGTAAAACAAGCGACAAGCAGGCCGATCGCACGCACCGAGCCCTAGAGAAGCAATTCTCCCGGGCCCAACACTTATCAGCTGGGGAAGGGCAGACGTCTTTGCTCCCCCAACCTGCGGCTCCTGAGACAGGAGCACAACAGCCTGCTTCGTCAAGGGCGTGGTCACCAGAGCGTGAGTATCAGCAGGTCTCTGTTCAGACCTTTGGTCAGGGAGATCCACCCCTTTTTGGGGAGGAGCTCGAGCTGCCAGGTCCCTCCACGGCACCCACAGCAACTTTCACGCCAACTGCAGCGGGGCTTCGGCCTCCACATGAGACCTCATTTACCGACCAGCTGCAGTCTTTAATATCACAGGTGGTCCTCCAAGCCATGGCCTCATCGGGTCATCATCATCACGCCTGCCATGCTGAGGTCTTCATCAGCGCCCTCCACCTCATCACGACCTATACTCGACCGTTCCGGATTGATCTCACCATCTCACTCACCTGAGTCAGATTCCTCCAGCGCTTCGGATTATGACGCAGCTGCAGACCGATGGTCGGACTGTGAGGAGCCTCCGCAAGACTCCCAGCCCATGGTGGAGCTATTTAATGCTTCTCTTTTTCCTTCCTTATTACGCAGAGCATGCGCAGCGGGCAAGATCACCTCTGACCCGGTCCCCGCCCCAGAGACTTCAACTGGACAGGACACGAATCCCCTGTTCT